GCTGCCTCGGTCATGACCGCGTGGATCTAGGAAACGCTGGCAGCTGTAGGGCCGAGCCCATGCTGTGTACGCAGCAACGCTTTGGCCCCCGCGGCAAGCCAAGCCTCGCTGCCATGCTGATGCTGACAGTCCGTGTGATTCTGCTCACATGTCCTTGTGCTGTACATGCAGCAAAAGTTACCGCTCTGCTTTGTCCGACTTTTGTCTCGTGCATACTCTCCCTCAAAGTCTTGGCTCCGTTCCGCATCATCCTGGCAATCACGCTCGTCTCGTCCTCTGTGGCTGCGGTTGCCAAGCTTTCTTCGCACAGCTCCGAGGATCCGCCGCTCTGGACTAGACCCCGAGTCTGGGTTGGGTTTCAACGCCATCAGCTCGCTTGTGGTCTACGATCTACGTCCACAACCGCCAAGCCGCCTGCTTGTGCTCGTTGAGGCTCTGACGCGCGCTCGCTGATTCCTTGACAACACTGCGCATCTGCGCATCGCTCCTCCTCAACCTCGCATCTCGCCTTGGCACCGGCGATCAACACGTCAAAGCGGAGTGCATGCGGTCCAATGCAGCGGTCCCTTCACAGAAAAGTCGGAGCAGGCCATGCGGTGGCGTCGCAACCGGTCTCCTCGGCGGTGGCTCTCGATGTAGCCTGTCGATCATTGGATATGCCGCGCCACCGAAGATCTTATAAGCACAAGGACTTTCTCCTATCTCTTACGGATGACGCTTCCTCGAAACCGATAGACAACCACCGTTCCAAGTTGCTGAGGACACCAAGCTCACGGAAAGACCACGCCTTCTCTTCCTCCTGGATCGACATCAAGATGGGCCGGCTTCCAGAGACATCATCAGCAGACTCGATGCTAGAGCAGCGAGCTTCGGCAGGCACCATCGGCCAGTCCGCCATCAACACACCAGCCCAACAGAGCGCACATGCGCTTCGCAAATGGATCAGCCTCTCGACGCTCGTCCTCTTCACGACCGCTACCAGCGTTGTCTCGCAACGATCAAGAAGCGTCGGGCCAGACAAACAGTACTCGATCGCAACGTCTGTCTTCCTATCCGAGCTTCTCAAGTTTCTGCTGGGCTTCGCACTCGCCACGGTCGCGAGAGATGCATCTCCAACAACAGACCCTGCTCGACTACCCCTGTTCTCAGCGGACGACCCGGAGGGATCAGAGAAGCTTGCTCGCGAAGCTCAAGGCACACGGTATGCAGCCGCGCCACCGAGTCTGTCGGCCAAGGCGCAAAGGGCGTGGAACGACGTTTACTGCGCTTCGACATGGATGATGGGCGTGCCGGCGCTCATCTACGTTTGCCAAAACATGCTTCAGCTCGCGGCCAACTCGCATCTGAGCCCGGTGGCGTACCAGGGGCTGTCGCAGCTCAAGCTCATCACGGCTGCGCTCATCAGCGTGTTTGTCTTCGGCAGGCCGCTGTCGAAGCGTCAGTGGACGTGTCTGCCCGTATTGCTGCTGGGCGTGGTCTTCCTCACGCAGAAGAAGGTGCCATCACACGAGGAGGTGGCCGAGGCAGCAAGCTTGCTGCGGGAGGTACCGACGGACTCTCCGTTTGGGCGAAAGGTGGGGAGCGGCAGCACGTTGCTCTCGACGAACCTGATGGCACAGGCAGCCTCGATGCTGCGCGAGGACGCGAGTGCGCAGCTGGCGATCGGAACGGCGTGCGTGGTGCTGGCCTGCGTGTGCGGCAGCTTTGCGGGCGTGTACATCGAGACAAAGCTCAAGTCGAGCATGTCGGTGGCTCTCTCGGTGCGCAACGCACAGCTGGCTTCCTTCGCGCTCGTCACGGCAGGAGTGGCGGTGGTGCTCGAGATGATGCAGAAGGGCGAGTGGGGGCCGCTGCGCAACTTTTCCACACTCGCTTGGACCACGGTGCTTCTGCGCGGTGGCAGCGGCTACGTGGTGTCGGCAACGCTGCGGTATGCCGACACCATCATGAAGGGATTCGCCACCAGCATGGCCATCATCACGACGATCGCGTTGGAGAGCTTGCTGAGCTCGCGACTGCCAACGCTGGCCCAGCTGACGGGCGGCGCACTGGTGATGGCAAGCACCTACAACTATGTGCGCCTCAGCGCCATCGCCAAGGAGTGATCGGCCGCAATGCCAAAGTCGACTTTATTCTGGCTCAGAATGTGTGAATTTTGAATTGGAGTGTGAGGGCCGAGTGAAAGTGAGTGTGTGTGCGTGCGCGCGCCTTGATAAGGCGATGTGGCGAGATGTGGAGGATCCGAACCGCGGGTCACTTCAGCCACCCACGTCTCCGAGCGGCCACAAGGCGAGCCTCATGCCGGCTCGGCGTGCGGTCGCCGGAGTGGCAATTCGGAGGTAACCCACTCGGAAGGCTACCGATGGGATCCTTTTTTCAAAATCACACCACCCTCCTCTCCCCTTGTCGTGTCACTCTGCCCCTCGGCGCGTCTCCGAGACTGCAAAGTGTTGTTCTTTCTTTTTTTCTCACTCTCGTTCCTGTCTTTTTTTTCGGTGTGACTCTTCAGGGCTGCAGGCTTGCTCATCTGCATCATGCATGCACGCGCGCATACAGTTTCACTTCACGCCACGAGGAGAGCCGCGACATTTTGGCAACGCGACCGAGCGGGACTTGAGTCATTTGGCGAGCCAAGCCGCATCGCATCTCGCATGGGCATCCCAGACGACGGTGCCCGCCCATGGCAAGCAGAGATGATCCGCTGCGCTTGGCTTGGCCGAAGATTGCGCTCTGGCGGACTCGGAGCACGACGTCTTGGCATTCGAGGGACCCTATCGTATGCAGATCCTGACCCCGGAGAGACTTTGAAGCTTTTGCAAGTGGAGCAGGTGGGGCCAGGACGCCGAGTCCCGCGCCAACGGTCCATGTCGCGCTCGTCGTCGTTGCTACTCGTCCCACCACCATGTGTTGATGCATGATCACTGCCAGTCATGACGCAGCGCGCTACCAGCTCGATACGATCTCTGCGTCAGCTCCGCACTCGCACTGTGCTGTTGGCCGGCGCGGTCGTCGTGGCGCTGGTCTACTTTACGAACGCATACTACCATCGCAATGTCATGGCCGAACACGCAAGCTGGATCCCGACAACACCCGGACAGGCATCGAGCCAAGCCGCCGAGGAGGCAGACGTCCGGCGACGTTCGGCATGCTGGGAGCAGTGGTTCAGCAAGGGCACCGTGTGCGTCAGACCTCCCAAGCAATGGACGGAACAAGTCAAGCTCGATCTCGTTTGGACGTGGAGCAACTCGAGCCTCACCCGACAAGCTCACGATCGGATCGATCCGGCCAAGACTAGCTCGTCGCATTCCCACGCCGAGGCATCGGATTTCCTGCGCTACTCGTTCAGATCGGCGCAACAGCACATGCACTACGGCTTTGGCCGCGTCACGCTGCTCACGCCGGACCTTCCGAAAGACAAGCTCGCCACACAGCCTCTCGAAGCATGCACACGATCGTATCAAGATGCTCAGGGCGTGTCGCGGAGTGGTCAGCGTCCGTGCTGGCTCGCCACCGAGGATCGAGTGTTTGAGGCGCCGCAACTGCTTCACAATCGCCAGGTCGGGTGCGCTCCTGGTAGCTCCGCATCTTCATGCTCGGGGCATTGGATCGATCAGGATGAACCGTTCTCTTCTGCGCTTCTCGCCGCACAGGCACCGGGACTGAGCGACGTGCGTCTGCTCGTCGCGCCGCACCACGTCTTTGCTCGTCCCGTCTCGGCTTCCGACTTTTGGTCCCCGCTCTATGGTGCCACGTACCGCTTCGATCCTGAAGCACAAGTGTCGAGCGCTGCTGCTTCGCCGACGGCTGGAGAAGAGGCATTGCAAAAGCCAAACGCACTGCTCGACGCCCGATTCGGAGTGCGTCCGCGAAGGAAGCTCCTCGACCTTCCCGTGCCCGTCTCGGCCTCGATCCTGACCGAGATGCGTCAGATCTGGCCCGGCGTCTTGAAACTGACTCCGACGAGCCAGTCTGCAAAGTTCGACTTTGGCTTCTTGGCTGCGCATTACGTTTTTGAAAGGCACCGCGAAGCTCTGCTGTGGTCGTTCGTGGTGGCCAAGCACGACCGCGATGCCGACGGCCTACTTTCCGCAGCAGAGGCCGAAGCGGTGCTCAAGGATCTCGGCATCGATGCACACAAAGCATATGCTGCTCCGCAGGTCGAGCTGCCTCGACGAGGGACACGATCCGCTGCGACGGTCGTATCGAACCTGCGCCGCGCCCAAATGCCGGAGCGTCTGGGCAAGGAGAGTATGTCGTCGTCCATGGACGGGCTCGCGTTCCTCACTCCGCGTTCGTCTGATGCGCAAGAGGGCGCTGCAGCTGATGAGGTGCAGCCGCCCGTGTGCAGGCTGGACCGCGAGTGTGTGAAGCCGCTGCTCGATGCCATGTCTGGGTCGGACCCGCCGAGAGTGAGCGAGGTGCTGCGCCGTGTGACGTTCCAGGCGCCCATGTGCGGCGACTGCATGCTCACTCACCTCGTGGGCCAATCGGGCGAGCAGGGCCTGTCTGCGTTTCTACCGGCTGGCGAGCTGGAGATGCCAGCGATCGAGGTGCTGCCATTGACAGCGCGCTTTGAGCAGGCCGACTACTCGCTGTCAGGTTCCGGGGCCGCACGCACGACGCGGCTGCATGGGGTGACGCAGCTTTTGGCGCGGTACGCGCACACGGTGGTGCAGCAGCAATCGTTCGTCACGCCCGCCATGGCGACGCTCTCGCAGGCAAGGCTGGGTCTGATCACGCTCGAGGTGCTCGAGTCGTCGTCGCTGTTCTCGTTCAAGCAGCAGCTGAACGCATCCGAGCCGCTCGAGCTGGCAGCGCAGACCGAGTGGGATTGGACGGCGTATGTGCGGGCATGGCTCTCGCTCCGCTTCCCCTTTGCAATGCGTTTCGAATCGCGCACCGACGAGCTCTAGTTCCGTATCGCACCCAGGTCTGTTTTTGGCGGATAGTACGATGTTCTGTTCAACGGTGATGTGCGTGCAAGGGGGGGAATAGACTGATTACAGGGTTTGCAATGAGGGAGGGGGGAGGGGTGCAGGAAGGGTATGTTTGGAGTAGGGTGGGAGGGGGTCGATTGCGGAGCTGCGTACTGCATGTGGATGGGCGAGGGTGACGGGCCAGGAGCATGCGAAGCTGTGTGGGGTGTGCTTGAAGTTTATGGTCATCTGCATGCGATGCGAGACATTGATCACGGCTGTGCTGCCCGCCAGTGTCGAGGGCTGAACGTCTGTTGGGATGCTGAAGTGGGCTTCCAAGACGCTATCCTCCGCACTGTAGCCCTTTTGTGAAGCGAAATCGACTGGGCCGGGCGAAGGTTGTGTATGCAGCTTCAAGGCGAGGGTAGGTATGGTCTGCGTGTAGATTGAGGACCTTGAGCTTTTGCATATCTGTGTCTGTTGGACGAGCTGCATCTGTACATGCTCGATGCAGTCTCTTGCATCTTTGCTGGGCAGTGTGAGACCCAGCTGTGTGGATTCGCCGATCTTGCATGGAGAGGGTGGGACGGAAATGCATGTTGAGCCGAGCCCGTCGATCGAGACGTACTTGACATGCGAAAAGTCAAACGCCTCTTCCGGGGCAGCCTGAACCACCCTCACCTCCCTCTCGGCTGTAAGCGTTTTCGCCAAGCTGAACCATCCTCTGGTGGTCGGGGTGATTTTCGCGGTGGCATGAAGTTTGTACCTCAACCTGGCGTCTTGTAGCTGGACGCTGGGAGGCAGGTTGCGAGGACATGCAATCTGGGCTATAAACTCGTACGTTCGTCCAGGCTGCAGCGTACATGGGTGTCGAAGGGGGTTGGAGGTGAGTTCGATGGGGAAGCTCTGTTCGAATCCGCCGTTGTTGTACATGAGCGACTCGCTGGCTACCAGCTTGGCGCTCAGCGATGCCAGGCTGTAGGACGTCGATGCGGTTGCAGGAACTTTAAGCTGAATATACGCTGTTAGCGAGGGGTGGGAAGATGAAGAGGCTGATGCCGTGGATGAGGATGATGCGGCGTAAGCGGGAGGCGTGTCGAAAGCATCGCTGGTGTCCACAGCACCATAGAGTGGGCTGGGAAGCACGAAGACGTCGCTCGGTAGTCTCACGCTAAGCTCCATTGTGGGCGGCGAGACGAAGATGCTTTGCAACGGGTCGGGCTTGCACACAAACGCAGACATGGTCTTATATGAGATGTGGGGCTGGCACGGGACACACTGAGTCTTCTAGAAGCACAAGGCGATTGTGCTACTCTACAGGCTGTTTCCAGGGGGGAAGGGGGGTAAGCGGCGAGCTGGCGGCAACGAGGGGCGGGGAGCGGGAAGCAACCATGCTTAGGCCTCGCGGCGGCTGAGCGGATTTGACGTCTGACAGCGGGAAAGAAGCGGCCTTGCCATCGTGCTTCTTTTTTTCCGACCACGCTGGGCAGACGCGAGATTTCTCCGATTTGGCCGCGCGCGATGTCGACAAGAAGGAGTTGCATGAAAGCCGGGCCAGGAACAAGTCCAGCCTGGCCGCCTTGCTGGTCAGCTCCGATCAAGCGAGCAGAGCCCGTCTCCGCCTTTCACGCCCTGTACATAACATTCCAAAGCCCATACGACGATGGCCAGATCCTGTTTGCGGGTTGGATCAAGGCGCGCGGAAGAGGCTCGGGGTGGTCAGTGCACAGCCGCCATACCCCGCCCTTTCCAGGACACGGATATTCGCTCTCGCTCAAAAGCTCAACAAAGGTAGACGCAGAGTGTTGCGAGACGATTCGAGTGAGTTCGCTTGGGATATGACTCGAGAGTGGCGTACAGTCGCTGTGGTGTCGAAGATGGCCGAAGGTGGATCTGGGGATGGAGGTGGGGGATGCAGGGTGCAGTTTCGCCTTTTCCCCGACGAGTTTTCCGATATTTCCGATGGGAGCAGACGGCGACATTGGCTTCCTCCAGTTCCTCCAGTTTCTCCACTTCCTCCAGATCCTCTACAAGTTCCTCCAGGGTCCGCATTGGCTCCGACTCTACCGTCTCGGCTTCACTTAAGAGCGACAACCTCGACGCCTTCGACGTGTCCTTGGAATCACCTCCTACCAACCACATCGGCCAATACGAGTACAAGTCAACGACGCCATGACAGGTAAGCAAATAAATCCAGAGCACTTGGGCTTGAGCCGACGCTGACCCGACTTTTGAATCGCTTTTGACCGGTTGTCTGCGTTTAGTCGAGCTGGGACAAAATGCTGCTGAGCCGTTGAGCTTCTCGGTGCGCTTGGGCGAGGAGACGGATGCGGCCGAGATCGCAGCGCTGGGCGCCAAGGTGTTTTACGAGTCGTTCGCCTGGTCGATGCCAGCACAGGACATGCGCGACTACCTCGACACCTCCTACTCGGCCTCAGCCATCCAGCTCGAGCTCAAGGACGCGGCGACGTACCGCTTCTGGGTAGCGCGCGACGACACCACCAACAAGCTGCTGGGTTTCGTCCAGCTCAATCGCTGCTCGGACGAGCCGTGTCTTACCGTCAAGCCGCCCGAGTCGATCGAGCTGCAGCGCATCTACACCGACACTGCTGCACACAGCCGCGGGGTAGGATCGACACTCATGACGACGGCATTGGAGTATGTGGTGGCGCAAAAGTACAGGGCGATATGGCTGGGCGTGTGGGAGGAGAATCCAAAGGCGCAGAAGTTTTATGCACGCAATGGCTTCAATAAGGTCGGCACCCATGACTTTGTGATGGGTAGCTGCGTCCAGACGGATTGGATCCTCGAACGCATGATTTAGACAGTACCATCACCCGCTTTTGTAAATGTAGATACGAACATAGAGTGTAGAATAGCATATATAAAGCTTCCTGGTCGGATCGGGTGACTCGAAGCGTGAGGAGAGGGGCATGGTCAGGGTCCAGTCCGCTTAAATTTCCCGCTCGGGCATTCCTGTGTGCTTTGCTTCTTCTCCTCCACAACACGCTCGCCTGGCACCATTGGCCTTCGCATCACGGATGAAGTGGATTGTGTGAGGCCACACGGACCCGCACACTCGTCGGCATGGCTCGTCCTCGCCCGCGCTCCGGCTCGTCGGCCGCTGCACCTGCACAGAGCCTCGAGAGCCTGGAGCAGGAGGCGCTGGAGCTGCTGGGCCAGCGCAAGCGGCGCCAACGCGTGCGCTACAGCTGCACCGAGTGCCATCGACGCAAACACAAGTGCGATCGCGAAACGCCGTGCTCCAAGTGCATCGAGCGCGGGGTGGCCGACGCATGCACACCGCACGATGGCAGCGCACAGGACGCTCACGACCGCGTCCGACAGCTCGAAACGGTCCTCTCGCGGCTCGTACACGCAACGCGCAGCACTGGTGGATCGTCTTCGCCGCGCGCTGGATCGAGTGCATTGGGCACACCGGACGCATCGCAGGCGGGCACACCGAGACGAAAGAGCAATCCCGGCGTGGCGACGGCGGCGTCGCTTCCGTTTCGCGCACAGGTGGGGTCGGAGCTCATCGAGTTCTCGTCGTCCAACCACGGCTATCCGCCTTCGGCGCACTATGAGCGGCTGGTGCGCGAGGGCAGCATCGAGAAGGACGCGATCCGAATCCTGGCGTCCGACCTGCCCTCGCTCGACGATACCAACGCGCTCCTCGACGTCTTCTTTCGCGACATCAATCCGCTCATGTTTCCCTTTGACGAGATGTGGTTTCGCGAGGCAGTCCATTCGGCCGCCGATATCATCTGGGGCGACCCGAGTACGACGTATGGTCAGGATGGCCCCAACCATTTGTCGGTGATTGCGCTGCTGTACGGCGTGCTGGCACTGACGTATTTGGCGCAGCCGCTGCAGATGGGCAGCGAAGCACGCGGGGCGGAGAGGGCGGCAAGGATGGCTTGGAGGTGCAGGGAGGTACATGCGCTCGCGCAGAGTATACAGTGCCACGATGCGTTCGTCGTGCTGAGCTACGTGCTGCTCGCCAGGTATCTGATCCTGCAGAGACAGGCGCGCGAGAGCTGGCTGGTGCTCGGCCATGCAGTGCGCCAAGCCCAGGTGCTGGGGTTGCACCGTATGGGAAAGGCGGAGGAGGAGGAGGCGAGAGAGGCGGCGATGCGAAGGGTGATCTGGATGCATCTGTTCTTCGAAGACCGATTCTCGAGTCTGATTGTGGGGCAGGCGCCGCTGATCAACGAGGCGTTTTGCAATACCCAGCCGCCGCTATCAAAGACGATGGATACGGACCGGGAGCAGTTGGATCTTGCACAGGTGGTGCGGGTGCGGCACGAGCTCAGTCGCATTGTGGGGGAGGCGCTCGAGCTCTTCCTCTCGGACGAGCGCGAGATGTGCTACGAGGCAGTGCTGCGGCTCGACCATCAACTGGAGCTCTTCCGAGACGCGCTTCCGAGCCCATACCGCACCGACTCGTGCATCGACAATGCCGACGGTGCGCAGAGACATGTGGCACTGCACAGATTCGTGCTGCACATCAGCCTGTACTATGTGGTGATCTCGGTGCATCTGCCCTACTTGCGGCACGGCGGGGGGGATGCGGCATTCGAGCGCTCGAGACAGGTGGCGATGGAGGCGGCGGTGGGCGACCATGCTGCGCGCGTGCGTCTGCGCGACGAGCTCGAGTGGCCCGCCCACATGGCAAGGGACGCCTTTGTCGGCGGCAGGTTCTTTTACTTTCACGCGACGTCGACACTGGGGATATGCCTGCTGTCTGAGCCGGACGAGCGCAAGGTAAGGGAGATGCTGCCGCTGCTGGACGAGTTCTTGCAGTTTGCCAGGGAGCATCAGAGACAGACGGGCGTGGATCCGGACCGGTGCATCCGCCAGGAGATCAGCATCGTCAGTTTGATTCGCTCCCGCGTCCTGCGCAGGGCCGAGAGTCGCTCCACTGCAACGCCACACAAAGGTGGCGGGGCCGCAAGCGGCCCGAGTGTAGTAACGGGCGGCTTGGCGCAGGAACAGCACGAGGTGCAGCAGACGACAGCCGAGGGTGCAGCTTGGCCGGCGGGGATGGTGGAGCTGGGCCAGCCGTCTGCCGGCGCCGATGTGTACGACTGGTGGACATGGCTCGTCTCGAGTCTCAGCCCATCCGACCTCCCGTCTCTCGTCGATCCACACGCTCGCACAAACTAGACGGATGAATGGTATTGGGTCTTGTGCATCTGGGCGTGGGAGGGTTAGGCTACCGAGGTGCGCACTTGAACGGTGACGGGCAGCTTATGAATGCGCCTGGTGACGAACGCATCGACCAAGCCGGCCTCGAACTTGGCGGCGTTGTAGGCTTGGGTGGGGACAAAGTCGAAGCGACGTACGAGGTTGGCAATGACAAGCCTCAGTTCCATATACGCCAGCACCTTGCCGACGCACGAGGTCTTGCCGTACGAAAACGGCATAAAGGCCGCCTTGTTGAAGCGCTCCTCGTGTTCAGGCTTTAGCCAACGGTCGGGTCGGAACTTGAGCGGATGCGGGGCAAAGTTCCTTGGATCGCGTTGGATGGACCAGATGGGCAGCGTGACGATGGTGTTGGCGGGGATCACGGTGGGTGTACCGTTGACATCCACCACGTTGGCCTGCCTACTCTGGCGCTGCAAGCCCGCCTGCACGGGCGGATAGATGCGCAGCGCCTCGTTGATGACAGCGTTGAGGAGCGGGCACGTTTTGTCGTCGAGGCGGGTAAAGTCGGTGAGTAGGCTGGGGTCGTCGCCGAAGACGTCGAGCAGCTCCTGTCGCAGTCGCGCTAGGATCGAGGGGTTTTCCATGAGGAAGAATGTGGCGATACCCATGGTGGTGGACGAAGTGTCGCTGCCCGCGACGACGATGAGACGCGCATCGGCGGTGGCTTCCTTGTCCATCCGGTCGGTGCTGCCCTTGGTTTCGACCTCGTGTAGCAAGTGGCTCATGATATCCGGTACCGCTTCGTTGCGCGCCTTGCGTTCCGAGACGATCTTGGCCATGTACTTGTCGAACTCGGCAATGGGGTTCGGCATGGCACCCAGGATGTCGATCAGGTAGGGGACGTTGCCGACGAGCTGAACGAACTGCATAAAGTCTTCGAGCGCCTGGATCATCGGGCTCAGCTGGCCCTTTTGGAGCAGGCCAAAGTCGCCGCCAAAGCCGGCCTGGGACATGACGTCGAACGAGTAGAAGCTGCAGTAGTCGTCGATATTCACCCGTTCGCCTCGCTGAGCTCGTGCTTCGAGCTGGTTGACCATGAGGTCCATGTTGTCGACCAGGATGCTTTCGTAGCCTTTGAGCGCTTTGGCGCTGAACGCGGCGTCCCAGATCTTGCGACGGGCCGAGTGGTTGGATTCGATCACCGCGCTGTGCAGGTTTCGCGGGATGTGCGGGCTTCGACTCCCCGCGGTGCTGACGTACCAAGGTCCGCGCCAGAAGCTGCTCTTGGCGCCCATGATCGCCGTCACGGCCGTCGTGGCATTGATCGACAGCTCTCGCGGTCCGGTTCGGACAACGTCGCCGTACTTGCGATGTGCATCATCGATGACCCGTGGTCGCATGCCAGCAACGTCCGTAGGGATGAAGGTGATCTTTGAGAGGCTCCATGAGGTGGGGCCTGGGAAGCGACTGAGACGGTGGAAGAAGAGCCGGTAAGCGCCGATGCTGGTCGTGGTGAAGGCGGTAAAGATGGACAGGTCGACGAGGGATGCTTTGGCTGCGGCGATGAGGGGAGTGGAGGTGGAGTGACGAAGAGAGGTGTCGGCGGTGACGAGAAGCGTGGAGAGCAGGGCGAGTTGGATGGGCCATAGCTCGAGGTGGCGGAAGACGAGGTGGTGCGAGGCAATCGAGGCGAGCGCGAGGATGGCGATGCGGTGCTGCTCGAAAGCCGCCATGGCGGTCTGAACCGTGTGCGCGTCCATCATCGTGCAACAGTATCGAAGCTAGGATGAAGAGGGGCCAGGGGGGGGGGGGGGGAAAAA